GCATCTCTTGGATCTCAACCATAAACAGGTCGATCGGTTTGCCCTCTTGTCTGATGGCGAGTAAGGCGTCCACACAAATGGTCGCCAAATGATCGGCCAATTTGTGGTGAACTTTGGTTCGCAACGATGTCTTCGCCACATTCAGCAAAGTGTTGCGATCGATGTCCTTCTGATCCACTTTAATGGCTTTCAGTACTTCCAGAGCCTTCTTCCGGGACAAGTCGTAGCCGTCGGCGACAACTCGCGGATGCAATCCCTTTAAAGTCATACACAACTCATCAGATATGTCCTCAAAAGTCAAGAAATTATCGTCAATTACTTCACTGATATAGTGTTCCGCTTGTTTGAGGAGTTCCCCGATCAGGAGTACCGTCGAAGTGGTGCCGTCGCCGGTCTCGTCATTCTGTGCGGTCGACGCCTTGGCTATGAGTGAAGCCGTCGGGTGTTGTATTTGCTGCACAATCGCACACACGGATCAGTTAGACATCAATCAACTCATTATCACAACATTAGCGCTAAATATCATACACTTTACCACTAACTGGTAATGTCTCGCAAACTCTTTTACATTTGATTAAATAGACTAAAAATTAAATAAACGGATCAAAAAACACGTGACAAACCATTTCGTGGAGTAAGACATTGCCGTCTTTAGTGATCTTAATATCTCCGCCGCCGCTGACGAGCCTTAAGACATAAAACACGAGACAATAGGCGAGTAATTAATGACTTGTTTTGTATACCATTTAAGGCATGCAATGGTTTTCACTCACATTTTCATCGTCCCCTTCGGACCCAAATTGGTTTTGAGGACTTCCTGAAGACCTTTAGCGCCGCTGATGTTGACGGCTAAGGCCTGCGAGTGACGGGCGATCTCAGCCTTCGGGTTCAGGGTATGTATGGCTGCCATCACTGATTCACTACTGATTTAATTGATTGGATTCACGAGTAATGCAACCAAATGTGTGTCCCTTTATTCACGCTTACAGTCAATGCTTTCAATTTATAGGCATTACTATACACTCAACACTGCGCTCACAGATGGCTCTCATTGTCTCCACTCGGATGACAC